TTCTGTAATTCTAAACGTTTTCCATCGCAAAGGTAAAATGTGTGATTTCATAAGTGTTGACATACACACATAGCTGCGAAACCATCATTACAATGAAAACGGTGAATGTATCTGTCACCCTCACATAATTAAATCTGGTTATTGAGTCATATTCACAATTTTGAAAGGTTACTCTTGACTAAATCTTTTATTTGGAACATCTGCTTTAACCTGTTAATTTTCTTTTTATTACCAGTTCTTATTAATTCAGGATCAAGATATGAAGCGAAATATCTTAGTGGAATTGCTCACTTTTTGGAAAAGTTGGCATTTTCGGTCAGTGTCTGATTCATCATTTTTGAGACTATACTTGAGAAGGATCTTTCAAGTTTTTCTTTTTTAGAATGGTTATTTTAATAAATGATGAAGTTGCTAAGTTAATACTAATAAAAGACTTTTAAGTTAAAAGATACTTTGTTTTTGTGTGTTTTGAAAGCAAAAGTAAATTTCCTTAATCATAATTTAGGGGTTGTTTGGATTGCTTATTTAGATTTTCTTATTCATTTTCACTAGTCTACTGCTCGATTCGACAGCAAGGATGACATTCTGCTTACCTTGGAAAAGCACGGGGGTATTTGTGATTGCCAGACGTCAAGGTACACCAGCTTTTACATACCAACTTACTTTGTGTCCTTGTGAAAATGCTGTTCTCATCCTTGCTTAAGGCCCTACTGAGCCCCTCCCATTGGAGAAGCTGCGGAGCTTCACGGTGAGAAAGGAGCCCTGGCCTGGGTGGAGAATTGGGCGGGCAGCACTTACACAGAGACACAGTTCCTGGAAACCCACTTACCCCTATCAGTTCAGCCAGGCTGGCGGCCCCATGCTAGGGATACCACAGTAGGCCCTGTCCCGAGCTGCTGGCCGATAGGGCAGGGGCCATGCATAGATAATAGACCCAAGAGCCAAAGGCGCTGGGAGCCAGAAGGACAAGCCATGAAATTGGTCTGGAGTTGGGAACAGGATTATAGGAAATGTGGCACTGGGCCTGGTTCCTGAGGAGTTTGCTAGACAAGTGAGGCAGGAGGCTTTCCAGACCCAGGGAACTGTGCCAAGGCTCAGTGCTGGAAGAGGCAGTAGTCTGCTGGGGAAGGGGACGGGGCAGTATTAGCTGGAGCACAGTTAGGGTAGGAGCTGGGGTATTGATCTTTGTGTGCCAGGTGTGGAACACTTTCAGAAAGCTCTGGGCAGTGTGAGATGGGTGGACATAGATGACAGACAACTGTTTTAAAAGGTTGATTATTTAAATTTGAATGCTAAAAAATGACACATAAAAGACACATTAAATGCTAAGAATTAAAGTTAGCATGGAGGTAATATCTTCACGTTTTAAAACAAGGTCTCTTAGGAAACCTGGCTCCTGCTGCCCATGCGTGATGTCCAGTCTCGTTGCCTGGTATGTGAGGTCCTCCCTAGCTTGCCTCAGACCCCAGATCTCTTCCTCTTTTTGCCAGATGAGCTCTGTCCTCTGGTCAGGCAGGCTGCTGTCCTGACTCAGACACAGCTCAGGCTTTTGTTCCTGCCATCTTCCCAGCATGGGACTGTCACTGAGAACGGCTCCTCCCCAGGTGAAGGTCTAGCCAAGTCCCCTCTGCAAAGGCACTGGTGACTGTGTCCCACCTGACGGGGCTCTTTCCCTGGGGGACGATTGTGTCTATTCTACATGGTCTCACTTGATTACACTTGATCTCAGATCTGTGATTTTCCATGGCTGTTCCTCCCCCACTTAGCTCTGTGCACTTCTGATGGTGTGGTGCCTCACACTGGGAGTTAATGTTACAGCTAGACAACAAGCTCTGTAAGAACCAAGTCGTCTCTGTCCCCCAGCCATCCAAGGCCGGGTGTATTTCCAGTCTGTTCATTTTTTGTTTTTTTTTTTTCCCCCCGGACGGGGTCCCTATCACTGAGGCTAGAATGCAGTGGCACTATCATAGCCTACTGCAACCTCTAACTCTTGGGCTCAAGCCATCCTCCCGCCTTAGTCTCCCAGGTATCTGGGACTATAGGCACAGGCCACCATGCCTGGCTACTTTTTCTGTTTTTTGTAGCGATGGGGTCTCTTACTCAGACTAGTTTCGAACTCCTGGCCTCCTGCCAGGAGCCTCCCAAAGCAATCCTCCCTCCTTGGCCTCCCAAAGTGCTAGGATTATAGGCGTGAGCCACTGGGCCCAGCCTCCAGTCTGGTCATTTAGCATACACTCAGAAAGCACAGATGAAATGCTTTCCCTTTTTAGAGTGCCTGCGGTTATAAAAATCTCCGTCAGCATTGGCTTCAGTTTGACTCAGCAGTGTCTTTTGCTTAAGTATTTAATCTCCGTGTAGATGGGGTTCCTGCCTGCCAGGAATTCTTACCCTAAGAGGGGAAAGGGGGAAAAAAGTCTGCAGGTCACTGACACAAAATGGTAGGCAGTACCCACTGGTACACCAGGTGTGAACATCCCCAGCTGCCCGGTCACTGTTGGCTTGTTTTTCCTTCCAGAGACACCACCATGTATGCTGTGTCTGCTGATAGCAAAGGCTTGGACACGGTGGTTGGCTTGCTGGCTGACGTGGTCCTGCAGCCCCGGCTGACAGGTGTGAATCTCCACTGCTAGTGCTTGAGGTGGGCGTGGGAGACCAGGGAGGCTTGTTGAAGCGCTGCAGCCACGAGCACCGCGCCAGTGGAGCCATGGGCCTGCACAGCAGTGACAGTGTGATTTTGTTAGAAATGAGCCTGGTGATTGGAAAAGTCCTTGGCACTTCAGGGCGCGCTTAATACTTTGATCCATCTCTGAGCCCTTTGATGTTTTCAGTAAAATTGGCTTTTTTGTTTTAGGAAGGCACCCTCATAGTGTTTTTCAACACCTTGACTGGCATGCTGCCAGCGGTTTCCATTACCCTCATGGGCCTTGCAGATGGCAAGACTTTGAGTTCCCTGCCTGGAGTGGATGGGAGAGAGGAGAGCGTCGGTTTCTCCAGACGATCTAAGAGTGTGCCCCGTTTCACAGCAGTCTAGCCTCAGCGTTCCAGTCCAGGGCTACAGTTGAGTTAAGACAGGGTCTCGCTCTGTCACCCAGGCTGGAGTACGGTGGGCGATCACAGCTCCCTGCAGCCTCGAACTCAGGGGCTCAAGCCATCTTTGCGCCTCAGCTTCCCACAGTGCTGGGAATCCAGGCTTGAGCCACCACACTTGGCCGGAGCTGTGATCTCCGTGGTATTTGCTGCAGTTAGCTGATGAAATGGCTCCCCTGGCAGGAGTCCGTGCCTGTTTTCTAAGTGCCTTCACATCTGATCTTGTGTCCTCACGGCAACACTTTGAGATAGCCAGGCAGGCACCTGCAGTGCTTTTCAGAGGTGAGGACACCGGGGCTGGGGCAGGTCCCACTGGCTGCTTCATGGCAGAACTGGGACGAGAGGCTCAAGTCCCTTTATCTCTATTCACCACAGTGCTGCTTCCCTCACTCACACGAGCACCCCCAGGTCTCCCCCCAGATGAGGGTAGCGGTGACTGCTGGCGCCCACCAGGGAACAGCACCCGCCCCAGCTCCGTGGCTCGGGATTAGTGCTCTCTTCATTCTTGCCTGAGTAGACTGAGCCCTTGTCCTTGGGTTCTTTTGCAGATGAAGAAATCGAGATGACACGGATGGCTGTCCAGTTTGAGCTAGAGGACCTGAATATGCGGCCTGACCCAGAACCGCTTCTCACTGAGATGATTCACGAGGTAAAACATAAAACTTGCAAATGTCCCTCCAGCTCAGTGGTCCTTACAACGCCAGGGGCGGTGGGGAGCAGTTGGCCCCCTCCCCGATCCTGTCCTTGCAGGTCATGGGTGCTCATGGAACACTCTGAATTTCTGCGTCTGCTGTTTATGCAGTGTTTGTGTGTTACGATTCTTGCCGTAACAAGATATTTCTCACCCCATCTATAAAAGGACCCTTACATTTTACATTTCCTGTGAATTTTCATTGTGGAGAGGCAGATTTTATTTTTATGAATACACACAAAGCTGCCACTGCCAGACTCTGGCTAAAAGAGCAGCTTGGGTAGGATTTTCCCAGAGGCACGGCAGGAGGTGAGGGTGGAGGCTGGTCGGAGGAAACCTCACTGCGCTCCCTTCAGTCACTTGCGTCTGTTTCCCTCCCTCTCAGGCAGCTTACAGGGAAAACACAGTTGGCCTCCACCGTTTCTGCCCCACAGAAAACATAGCCAAGATTGGTCGAGAAGCGCTTCGTTCTTACCTGAGAAACTACTACACGCCCGATCGCATGGTGCTGGCTGGAGTGGGCGTCGAGCACGAGCACCTGGTGGAATGTGCCAGAAAATACCTCCTGGGCGTCCAGCCGGCCTGGGGGGGCGCGCCAGCCGTGGACGTTGACAGATCGGTAGCACAGTACACTGGGGGGGTTGTCAAGGTAAAGTGGTGACAGGAAAGGTCTTGCGATCGTGGGCTGTGTACATGTCTTCTGACTTGTTTCTGTGTTTATTCCGGAGGGGGATAGAAATTTACTGCACTTGCGGCTTTGCCTTAAGGTTACTGTTGTCCCAGGATGGCACGGAATGTGTCCACTGCAGCTGGGAGCCGTTGGCTCCCGGTTTCTATATAGCCATCTTCAGGGTGCTCTGGGAAGTTGGCGAGTCCTGGTGGTTTTTCACCTGGGCCACTCGTTTGTTGTTCTCGGTCACAGCTGGAAAGGGATATGTCCAACGTCAGCCTGGGCCCGACCCCAATCCCCGAGCTCACACACATCATGGTGGGACTTGAGAGCTGTTCCTTCTTGGTAAGTCCAGGGCCTGGACAGGTGGCGTGCCCCAGACGCAGTGTGGACTGTGGCCAAGCCCTGCCCTCCTGTCCCTGCAGGAGGAAGACTTCATCCCTTTCGCCGTGTTGAACATGATGATGGGGGGAGGCGGCTCCTTCTCGGCCGGGGGGCCCGGCAAGGGCATGTTCTCCAGGCTGTACCTCAATGTGCTCAACAGGTAGGTTGCAGTCTTTCTGTGTGGCTGTCCTCAGGCTGCCAGACCAGGCAGAGTGGGTTTTTGCACCACGATGCCACCTTCCAGGTGTCCTTTCTCTAGTTGCCTGTGGCCTGACGTTGGCAGGTCCCCTCCCCCACCCCAGCACTCCACGCTCCCCCACAGGCACCACTGGATGTACAACGCAACCTCCTACCACCACAGCTACGAAGACACGGGCCTCTTGTGCATCCACGCCAGCGCTGACCCCAGACAGGTGAGGGCTGCCCCCAGGGCAGGAGCAGCGTTCGGGTCCTGCCCCGGCCTCAGTTCTCCGTTGCAGCTGCTCCTCCCGATCAGGGCCATCCCTGCTTGAGAGGGGTCAGCCGGCTGGAGTCCAGGCCACACTCTCAGGGCGTTGCTCTCCTTTGTAGGTTCGAGACATGGTAGAAATCATCACAAAGGAGTTTATTTTGATGGGCGGAACCGTGGACGTGGTAAGTAAGGCGTGGAGCCATTTCCAAGCTTGCCCACAGCACCTGCCAGCAAGAGAGCCACATTGTAGGAGTGGCTGGCAGCAGGCGCAGTACCCAACCCCAGGGCCACACCAGCCAGCAGGATGGTGCAGCTGAGGGGTTCAGGGCTGGCTGTGGCACTCAGGGGCCCCCCAGAGCCCTCCTGCCTGGTGGCGACACCGAGCACAGCCCACCACACCTCCCGAGTGCTTGGTCTGCTTTCATCCTCCGGCCGTGAGTCCTGGGACTGACCACGTGACCTTTCTCAGCTTTGCTGAAGACATACTCCAGTGAGTCTCCGCGTCCTGCTCAGGCGCCCCCGTAAGGCGACTGCGAGTTAGACAGCGGCACAGCCGCACGACATGAGCCGCAGCACGGCGCCTTCTCTAGCCTTTTTCTGGCTCTGTTTTCACTTGCTCATTTCTTTAGCGCAGTTTTTGATGCCTTATGTTTGGAAGTCTTGTTACCTCCTGGACCACAACTGGCACAAAGAAACCACTTTTATACACACATGTAAGGAAGTTCGCGTGCACGCACGCACACAGCATCAGGGCATGCCAGCTTGGGAATCGTGCCTGTAGGTGTTGTACGTTTTGCCTTTAATTCTTCTTTTCTCCATGTTTCATGTTTTCTGCAGTGATTACATAGTCACTTCTTTTTTTTTTTTGTCTTTTTTGAGACAGTCTCCCTCTGTCACCCAGGCTAGAGTGCAGTGGCATCAGCCTAGCTCACAATAGCCTCCAATTCTGGGGCTCAAGCGATCCTCCTGCCTCAGCCTCCTGAGTAGCTGGGACTACCGGCACGTGCCACCATGCCCGGCTGATTTTTCTATTTTTAGTTGCCTAATTTTTTCTATTTTTAGTAGAGATGGGGTCTCGCTCTTGCTGAGGCTGGTCTCAAACTTCTGGCCTGAAGTGATCCTCCCACCTTGGCCTTGTGAAGTGCCAGGATTACAGGCCTGAGCCACTGCACCCAGCTCCATGTTCATTTTTTACTGCAAAAGCATTATTTAAGAAAAAAATTGTGTTTAAAAATGAACATTCTTGAGTTCCATTAGTATGCTACTAGAGAACAACACCTTTCGCTAATGCGAGGCCCATTGAGATAAATTCATTTAGATATTTGCCTAAAGTGGCAAAAACAAAAAAGACCTGTTTAAGTTGGGAATTATTTTACTTAGAAGATGATAACAGTATCTCAGCAGCCAATCCGTTTTTCAGTGTTTGTTTTTCAAAGTTTGATAGCTCCTAGATTCGTTGGCACGTACCTCAGATCCAGCTCCGTAACCCTGACTCACGGGGCCCTGATGGTTTAGCTCCTGTAACTGGCTGGAGCCTCGGGACGGAGGCGGCTGTCCTCAGAGTTTCCCAAGGAGTTTACGAAACCCAGTTGCCTGTGCCCTGATCGGGTCTGCTGGAGCCCCAGGATCTGTGTTGCATTATTCTCCTCCTGCTTTTCCCGTGTGGCTGCTTTGGGGTCCTGGAGTTTGGGAGTTTAACATTTTACCTTCTCCTGCTGCATGACACTCAGACGGTAAAAAAGAACTCCAGGGAAGCACATTTCTCTCTTATTTCAAACGCGGCACAAGCCCCATGAGGTATAGTGTCAGCTCTTACCCAGAGATGCCAGGGAGGAAACGGGGCAGGTTTTCTCCTGACTTGGGCCTGGGCCCAGGCACAGGGGAAGGCCCTTCCCTTCCTGGTTTTCAGCTTAGGGTACCCGGAGGCCTTTTGCTGGGACAGGTTCCCATCCGGGCCTCCGGTAGCCTGCAGGGCTGTGACAGGTGGGTGATGGTGTAAAGGCCCTGCCGACCTGGTTGTTGGCCCCAGGTGGAGCTGGAGCGCGCCAAGACTCAGCTGATGTCCATGCTCATGATGAACCTGGAGTCTAGACCTGTCATCTTCGAGGACGTGGGGAGGCAGGTGCTGGCCACACATTCCAGAAAGCTGCCCCATGAGCTGTGCACGCTCATCCGTGAGTACCATGTTGGTAATGAGGTGGCTACTGAAGGCCTAGGTCAGGGCTCAGATGACACCTTCTCGCCTTCCTGCGGACTTTCGTGGGCCCCCATGGGCATGGCTGCCCCATCCGCAAGCCTGGGCCTTCACCAGGTGTCCTCAGCTCACGCATGTAATCTCAGCACTTTGGGAGGCCAAGCTGGGAGGATTGCTTCAGGCCAGGAATTTGAGACCAGTCTGGGCAACATAGTGAGACCCCATCACTACAAGAAAATTTTTTTAAATTAGCCTGGCACAGTGGTACACTCCTGTAGTCCAAGCTACTCGGAGGCTGAGGCAGGAGGATCGCTTGAGCCCAGGAGTCTGCGGCAGTAGTGAGCTGTGATGATGCCACTGCTCTCCAGCCCGGGCGATGGTGAGACTGTGTGTCTGGAATAAATAAGAAAGAGGACTCAGTGAACTAGTGGGTGACAAGCACTCAGCAGAATGCCAGAGTCACTAGGGACAGTGCTTTGCTGTTTGTGGCTCTCTGGCAGGTGTCTCAGCCCCAGGTTTCTGTGGCCCCAGTGAGTGACCTTCAGGTGGTCCTTGAAATTCCTCCAGTTGTGCGCCAGATTTTGCTCGCATAGGCGTCTTCTGGGGGCCAGTTTCAAAACCTGGCACAGAGCGGCTCATGAGGTAGGCTCTGCCTCTGGACGTCGCCCAGTGGCGTCTCCAGTCTAGTGAGGGAACCTCCGCCTTGTCCTCCTGGGCATGAAGTCTTGCCCTGCCCCTGCGTGGGCCCTTGTCCTTCCTTTAGGAATCCCCTTTGCATCCTTGAGCACGAGCGTCCAGTCTCCCCAAGGAAAACAAGTCTCCATGGGGCGTTCTCCTTGCAGGATGTGGTTCTCGTCACTCACCTCCCTGTGGTTCCCGGGTCCCCCAGAGGCCGGGCAGCGTGTGAGGCTGCTGCCATGGTGCAGCCCTGTGGGTCCCTCGTTCCAACTCTACCTTCTGTCCACGCAGCCCTGAGGAATTTGGGTTTTTTTTCTATAGACCTGTCATAAAGTTAATGCATCAGGCGAGGAGCTTGGTCTTTTCTCAATATATTAACTCCTGCTGGGTATGTCCTTGTGCGTTTGAAAACCATTTTAAACTCTGGCACTTCCCCCTTTACTAAGAACAACTCACGTCTGTCATCTCGCCCCGACTTAGCTCATCAGCTGGCCCAGCACGGTGGGAGTGACGTAGATTGGGGGCCTCCTTGGTCCATTCAGTGACCACAGCCTTGATGTGGAGACAAACAGCGTGTCTGACGTCCTCTTGCTCTTGTACTAGGCAACGTGAAGCCAGAAGACATCAAGAGAGTTGCTTCTAAAATGCTCCGAGGGAAACCAGCAGTGGCCGCCCTGGGCGATCTGACTGACCTGCCCACCTACGAGCACATCCAGACGGCGCTGCTGAGCAAGGACGGGCGCCTGCCCAGGACGTACCGGCTCTTCCGGTAGAGTCCCCCCAGATGCCACTGGGCCCGGCGGCTGTGGACAGAGTCTGCTTCTATACGTGCTACCTGGGGTGTGAATTTAGTGAGACGCCTGGTTCCATAAACTGCGCACGAAGGGACTCTGCTCTTCAACTGGGTGAAGGAAGTCGACGTTGCCAGAACACTGCTTGGTTTCCATTCCGTCAGGCCTGAACATGCCAATCAGCGGAATAAATACCTTCACCACTCCAAGCTAGAAACCAGGCAAAGTGCAGAAAGATTAAAGGCGGCTCGCCATGGCAAAACCAGGCAGGTATGTCCACCTTTGTCCGGAATTCTTGGCCTGTGGGGCCCATATGGGTTCCTGGGAACTTGGCCACTGAGCAGAGAGGTACCCGCGGGGGGTCCCAACTTCCCGGGGGACCCGTGCTGCACACACTGGACCGCGGTATTCTGCAACGGGTCCCAGGACTCATGTCTGACAAGCTGGACCGGAGGGGGCAGAGCCTGCCTTGCAGAGCGTGTCTGTGTGTGCGTGCACACCCATCGTTGCTGGTAATAAAATGGTGAACGTCTCTCTTACCACGGTGTGTTCTGTCTCCCTTGGTTGAGGAGAGAGCTGTTAAAAGCTGTCTTAACTGACAACTTTCCTAAAGCAGGGACCTTTCTCCCTGAGAATCGTCCAGCTTGAGCCAGTACCTTGACGCCTCTTGTCCTTTAACTGTAAGATGCATGCTGATTTCAGAGGGGTCGGGTGTGCACGGGGCCAGAGCTGAAGAGCGCTGAGGGAGCGGGGCAGTGGCGGCACACGGCCGTGGCGCTTCAACGTGGGGACGCGGAGCCTCGGGACTCGGCCTGCAGACACTGCTGGGGTTTCGGGACAGCCGCAGGCTGCTTGGGAGGCGGCAGGTTAAAACTTTTGACATGGTGTACATCAGTGGTTCCCACACAGAAATCACCCGAGGAGCCCCGTGGGGGTGCGGGGATGGGGGCGTCAGTAGCTTGGGTCTGGGAACCTGCGTTAACCACCCGGAGTCACTGAGTGCGGCCACAGTCCAGAGGACAGCTTGCCGGCCTGCAGCAGCCAGCGCACTGCACGAGGTCGGGCCGCACGGTTTGCGTAGAAGAGGATGGTCTCTAGTCATAGTTTCTGAACAGCTAAGAAGCCCAGCTCTGCGACGCGGATGCAGGAGGGAGTGGGTATTTTAAGGCAATCAGACTTTCAAGCGTTACTTCTGTTTTTCAGTTCTCTTACTGTGCTCAGGCTGTGGTACCATTTTACATGTCTATCTAGACAGTGGTTTTCTCGCGGTTTCTGGCTCTTGGCTTCCAAGGACAGTCTGGCCGTAACTGTTGGGGTGCTCTAGGCCTCGGGAGCAGCCTCAGGAGACAGAATCTCTCTGACCTCCAGTCCTCCCCTCTGCCCAAGACCCCCACTCCAGAGCGGGCCCGCCCCACCCCCAGGAGGACGGATGCTGCAGGAGGCCTTGCTGGGTGTCCCCACTGCTTGTGTCCCCACCCCCGGTGTCCGGTCCATTTCCACGCCGTCGCCGTTCTTCATTTGCGCCCATCCAGGGGCGTCTCCACACCAGGCCCAAGAGAATAGCGCTCAGGGAGCTTCCAGGTGGCTGCACACGTGGAGGGTGGTGGGCAGGGAGGCTCCACGCCCCTCCCTCACTCCTCGCCCTACGCACCTGCGTCCTTTGTAACATCCTTTGTAAGGAGCCCATAAACGTGATTTCCCGAGTTCCGTGAGCCGCTCCAGCAAATCAAAGCCAAAGGGGTCCTGGGAGCCCAGCTGGAAACCAGCAGGTCAGAGATCCGAAGGCCCAGACGCGCCGGTGGCGTCTGGGGGCCATCGTGGATGGAGCTCTCACCCTGTGGGATCTGATGCCGCCTCCAGGACTGTCAGGACTGAATTAAGCACACGCAGAGTGTTCCTGCAAAACTGCTTGCTTGCTTCTGGGTGGGGGGAAATCCCCACATATTTTGGGGTCACCTAAGTCTTCTGTGCTGTCGTGTTGGCCTGAGAGCAGAGGAAAATCGTGGTTCGGTTTTCCCAGCACTGGCCTGTCGTACATCTTGGAAACCTGGAACCCTTCCAACGCACACACCAGCGGAATGACAGGATCTGCCTCGTGGGGAGTCAGCTTGCTCCCTGCCTGGTAGAATCCAGTCCACTGGGGCTGGAGCCAGAGGAGAATGGTGTGTAATATATTCTAATTGAATTTTTGGTTGGAAACTTGCTAGCATCACCGTGTTGGGGGGAAAGCCCGGGCAGCACACGGAGGTGATGCGAAGCTGTTCCACGTGGTCGGTAGCAGGCGTCACGGTGAGGGCAGAGGCCTGAGCAGCTCGGCCGCATCCGGAAACTGCCGCTAACCAGGCTCTGGTGTCCGGTGATGGGGAAGCAGACGCCAGCGGGGGCTCCCTCTCGTTCCACCCCCACCGAGGGCGCTCCGTGGGCCTCCTCAGTCCTCCTCTGCAGCCCAGCGTTGCGCTGGCACCGTGCCTGGCCACACACCGACCCGGCCTGGCACCACGTGCGGTCCCATCTCAGAGTGCGCTTGCCCCACGCTGCACCCCGCCCAGGCCCGGAGCAGGACCCCGGAGACGCTTGTTGAATGAAAGACACAAGCGAATGTCTTGAGAGAATGAGAGCTGAATTTTAAAAACATGCCCTCACACTCGGTTGTGTTTCACAATTTTTTATGAAGCTTGTTTTCCATTGCTATTGGCCAACTTCGATCGCGTTAATTTGAATTTTAAACTAATTTTCCAAGTGAAATTCCATTCATCTAAAATCTAATGTCTAGGATCAAGGAAACCACTCGACTTTTGAACCGCGATCTTATTGGACATGTGCAGTGGTCCTCCAAGGACACGGAGTTCTCCACACCCTGCCCAGCAGACGCACGCCGGGCTCAGGCTGAAACCTCTTCCCTGTGGTTTGGGTCAGAGAAAATGCGGAGACAGGATCCATCAATCTGACTCACTTCCAGCCCCACTACCATAAAAATCTTTGTAACAAAGAGATTTTCAATTAATTGGTTTGTTTGAACAAAATCTCATACGTATGGACTAAATAGTGTAGACGGGGCTGGCTGTAACCTCTCGCTAATGGCGTTTCTCTCATTTTTATCAACAGATTAGGTGTGTATTGCTTCCATATTTTGGAAGGTAATGCTAATAGAAGTTTTCTACATTATTTATTGGAATTGCTCATAATTTCATCACAGTCCACTCCAGTCTGAAGTACTCACTTTTCCCTGGAAAGACCCTTTTCTAGTGGACGCCGACCTCTGGGGCAGCAAACGGGGAACGGGGTTTGACGGCAGCCATGAGTCAGACACAGCGGGGCTGGCACCCTGACGGTTGAGTCCAGACTTTTTGCCTTTGAATTTTATAGCCTTTTAAAGTAAGAACATTGTAAGAATAGGGTACACATAGGTTGTTCCTTCCCAAGATTCAATCTTTGGCTAGAAAGAGAGTTTAAGATCCAATATATGCATTTATTTAAAAACATAAATATGGAAAAATAAATAATTTAAAAGACGAGATTGAATGTCCCTAGATTTTCACACATCCAAAGCCTACGTTATTTTTTTCAAAAGATGGGGTAAGATGCAAAGAGCAAGGACGAGTTCGAACCCTCTCCAAGAAAAAACCCAGGACGTGGCGGCAGATCCTGGCCAGGTGGACAGTGGTGACTCTAAGCTTCCGGCAGGTCCCAGCACTGCTCTACTAATGTCCTTCTGTGGCTGATGCTACGAAACTGTGACATGTTTTCACAGGACAGGAGATGGCAAACAGTGTCTCATTCAGCTGGGGCCTCCTTGTCCCGAGGTAGTGACTTGCAGCCTAGCAGAGGGAGACCGCGTCACGCCCAAGTGTCTGGCTTCGTCAGCTGGGCTCTCGGGCACTCCAGGGGTCTGAGGGGTGGCCCGGCCCCAGCCCAGCCTCTGCAGACCCCCGTGCAGCCTGGGGTACTCGGAGGAGGAAGGGCTCGGCTCTCGGGGGCTGTGAAGGGCTGCCAGGAGGACGCAGATCCGGAGACATGGATGCGGGTGTGAAGGCATGAACAGGGTGTTGAGGGAGAGTGCCGGTGCTCACTGGCAGAAGCGTGGGCGCTGCGGTGCTACAGTGTGGGGTCCGATCTCCGCCTGTGCCCGTGTGGACATGTCCTGGCCGGGACAGGTGCGCTCAGGCTGAGGGCCGGCTTCCTTGCTGGGACACGCACACGGCAGGGCACAGTGCCGCTTGAGAAGAAAGTGGGACAGCCTGGGCTGGCTCACGAGGGTCCCAGAGGGTGAGAGGCCACCCAGTGGCGGATGCTTCCGCCTTCCAGTGACTTTTGGTCAAATGCTCTCCCCCGCTGCAGCTGGTGAGTCCTCGTGCAGCTTCAAGACACAGTGCAAATAGTGCTGGAGTTCTGGTTCTTTAGCGCTTGCTGTCTCTGAATTTCTTTTGAAATCCGTCTTTTAATTCCTATTAAGTACAGTTCTCGGTCAAACTTGCCGGCAGCCAGTGGGATGCTGTGGAGGAGAGGAGGAGAGAACCGCTGGGAGGGTGCCCTTGCTCTGCCCAGCCCCCGCCACGGAAGGGCAGGGCCGCTGCCAGGGCCTCCATCCCCCCAGCCCCCGGGGCCCCTGCCACCCGCCGGGCTCGTCTCAGCTTCGCTCCCTAAAGCTTCGCGCCAGATCCTGCCTCCCTGCTACCCCAGAGAGTAGCCCTGCAGGCCACGAGACAAGCTTCTGGGTTAGCCCCGAGGATTCCTGGGCCTCTCCAGGCACACAGGACACCCTGCTCCTATTTGGATGTTGCACGTGATATGACAGCGACACGAACACCTGCGTCCACGTGCCGCCGACCCCCAGGCCCCCAGAGGGAGGCCGCGCACAGAAGACACTGACTTGTCGCGCCCGGGCCGCACTTTCACTCGGAACAGGCCATACACGGGGCGGTGGTCGGACGTCTTGATCCCAGGGCAGGAAGCGTACTTCACTGGACAGATGTCACCCTTGTGGCGGCTTCTGTACAAGACCCGGTCCTTCAGGAAGAGATTCCAGAAGCAGGAGGACCAATTACGCACCAGGGGCCATGGGGCCTGGCCTGCGCCCCTCCTGCTGTCCTTCGGCAAGGCCCCCAGAGCCCCTTCCTGGACCCCCACCCTCATGTGCATTTCGTTGCTGGTGTCTGTGGGCCAGAGGCCTGTCCCTCGCTGCTCTCACCGGGCTCTGCCTCAGTGGCTTCCCAGAGGCCTCACGATGTGCCCAGCCTGGAGCCGTGGGCCTGGGGGAAGGCGCGGCAGGGAGGCAGGTGTGCCCGGCAGACAGCTCAGGAAGCCAGTGCGAGAGTCCAGTGGCCCTGTTCTCGGCCACAGGAGACTCAAGACACGGGGTCGCTGGGCCCAGGACACACGGCCAGGGTGTGGAACTGAGTTTCAGGGCCAGGCTGTCTCGGGCGCTGGCCTGGGCAGCGTGCCAGTCTGACCCGACGCTAGGCGTGAGCTCCTGGCTCATGGGAAGTCCCTGCCTTGAAGCCATCGTGTTTGGCAGGTGGACGGTGGCAGGGCCGGGGCTGCCTGGGAGGCAGGGCGGGTGTGGCGCTCGCTCACCGTGTACGAAGGGGTCCTCTGCTTGGACGTGCTGTCGTAGGTATCCTTCCCAATGTCGAACTTGTATGATGGCAGGAAGTGGATGTCTGGCTCCTGGAAGCCCTTGAAGACAGACCCTGCAAGGGGCCAGGCGCTCAGACCGGGACGGGCGCTCAGGCTGGCTCGCCTGGGCTGCGGCCCCCCAGGTCACTCACCTTTCCTCATCTCCCGGGTCAGCTGGTCGTGCTGCAGCAGCGCCGGCACGTCCGCCTCCGGGCCCTGCAGCAGGAGGGCGTCCACGGTCGCGCGCCCACCGCTCAGGCGGAAGTTGAAGTCTCCGAACCAGAACACCTCGTCAAAGCGGGTGGTGACATCCGCTGCAGATGTTGGATGTGTGTTGGCATTAGGCCTCAGCGACAGGCAGCCGGGCCCAGGCAGGGTGACAGGGGGTCCTCGGTCTGGGTCCCTCCCCTCCCCCAAAAGGAAGAGGTCTCGGTGCTGGCTGGCAGGGAGGCAGGGGCGGGCAGCCTGGGCTCTCTGGGCGGCATCCCACCCGGAGCAGCCTCAGGAGCACGCAGGGGCCTGGGGCTCACACAGCGACGGTCACGTCTCAGCCTCACCGCATGGCCGCGGAAGGGGTGCGGTGGGCAGAGAGGACTCGGACCGGGGCTGCCGATGCCACGCTCAGCCTGGAGGGCAGCGCCTGCCTGGCTGCCGACCGGGCCAAGGCGCCCCTCCTGAGAGCTGGGCGCTGAGAGCAACCGCTCTGACCTTGACTCTCAGAAGCTGCAGACGCTGTTTCTGCGGAACTATGGAAGGGCGCGGAAGGAGACCCCGCGTGTGAGCTGGCCGCGGGCCCTCACCTGCACTGGAGCGGTAGGGGTTGGTGTCCGGCACGTTCCGCGGCAGGGCCAGGGCCTGCACGGTCCTGGCGTAGTCCAGCAGCCGCTCCGCCACCTTCCCGTCCCCAGCTGTGGGAACAGAAGCCAGGCGGGGGACACGGGGTTCTGCACACTCAAGTCCCCCGCAAAGAGCCCCCCGCTGGCTTTTGTTGGGCCCGGTTTTTTGCGGCAGGGCTTGCCGGCGACGGTCCTGAACGCCGAGGTCTGCCCTCGGGGTCCTCGTCAAGCTCGTGGCCGAGACGCGCAGAGCTACGCTGCAGCCCCCGGAGACGCGCCAGGTGACGGGCTCCCCTGCCCCGCAGAGGCTGTCAGTGGAGAGGAAAGGTCTCCTCGCGCAGCACTCGGGGCCCAGGCGCCAGTGACTTACAGGTGAAGTGCGACGTGATGAACAGGAAAGAGGTGCCGAAGAAGGTGAAGCTGACGCCCAAGGCGCCCTTGGTTTTGATCTGAGACACGATGCGTGTGGTCACCGTGGAGCACTCCACCTCTGCGCAGGGAGGCAGAGAGCCCCTCAGTTCACTGCGCGGGACGCCGCCCCTGGCCCGGTGGGTCGTGTCCCTGTTCGTGCGAGGGGCGGGGTCGCCAGGGCAGCCACGTGGGACACAGCGACCCCGAAGGCTGGATTCTGTCTCCCAGCTGAGGCAGAGGTTGGGCCATGAAAGGGGAGCACGTGTGTGGGGTCCCGTCCACCCCCTGGCTGCACCCACCTGAGCAGAACCAGATGAGGTCCCGGCGGATGAACAGGGACAGGTAGAGCACCCCGTGGGCCGCCGAGGACAGTAGCACGTAGTGGGGACCCAGCGTCTCCTGCAGACGAGTCTCCCACTCCCGCCTGCAGTGAGGAGGACGCGTGGCTGCGGCGGGCACGCGGCGCCTTCCAGCTCCACCACCCCCAGACCCGCTGCCCGGGCCCCTGGAGGAGCCACCAGGGGAAACCCGCGATCTGGGCTCGCAGCCTCGCACTGAGAATGGCAGATGAGCCAGAGGAGGGCGTCGTGGGCACCTGTTTGCAAAAGGAGAGTCTCCGGGGCCAGGAGCCTGGACCTGCCGGTGGGTCACAGTTCTGGCTCCGGTGTGGGCCACTCCTGGATCCCTGCCACGACCCCGCTGGGCTCCCTCCCACCCTGGCAGGGCACCCCGCCTGCCCCAACCTGCAGGCCAGGCAGCGGTGGGGTCCAGGGACCCCAGGGCAGAGCCCTTCCTGCAGACCGTCTGGTGCAAGGGGGCCCCTGCTGTTCTCATCACAACTCGGAGCCCACACGAGGCCCCCCAGGGCGACTCGGGCAGGCTGGCAGAGCCTCCGGGGGCCACCAGGCTGCACAAAACACCAACCTCGCTCTTGGCTGCTTTTTTTTTTTTTTTTTTTTTTTTTTGAGACAGAGTCTCACTCTGTTGCCCTGGCTAGAGTGCCGTGGCGTCATCCTAGCTCACAGCAACCTCAAACTCCTGGGCTCAAGCGATCCTCCTGCCTCAGCCTCCCGAGTAGCTGGGACTACAGGCATGCGCCACCATGCCCGGCTAGTTTTTTCTATATGTTTTTAGTTGTCCAATTAATTTCTTTCTATTTTTAGTAGAGACGGGGGTCTCGCTCTTGCTCAGGCTGGTCTCGAACTCCTGAGCTCAAACAATCTGCCCGCCTCGGCCTCCCAGAGAGCTAGGATTACAGGCCTGAGCCAGTGAGCCTGGCCTTGGCTGCCTTTCTTTAAAATCAACTATTTGATTACAAAAAATAAAATATTATTCACTTTAAATCTCTCAGTCGCCATTTGAGAAGAAACTGACTCGCATGTTCACCCCAGGCTTAGCGGCTGCCCGCGCCTGGCCGTGTGTGGGGGTCTCGGAGCCCACCAGCAGGACGCGGAGGCCCGGCGCAGTTGGGGAGCTTGAGCCGTGTGCCCTACCTGTCGGAACAGCCCTCCTGCACCCCGACGACATAAAGGTCTTGGGCGTAGTCTGCCTCGGCAGGAAGCAGGAGCTCGTCCAGGCTTGGTGGCAGCTCCTGGGGAGAAGAGCCACGTGGGGTTGGCTGAGGCCAGCAGGCTCCCCCCAAGCCAGGCGCACTGTGCCCGCATCCCAGCCGCGGCATCTAGAAGTGGTGCCGAGAGACTCTTCTGAATGAGGGGAAACTGAGGCCATAGCCGATAAGGGATCTGCCTAGCAATTGACGAACCATGTGTGCTTGGTCTCTGAGGAGCCCAACACCAAAGATGCTCCAGGTCTGGGTGGGCCGCCCTTGCCTCAGTTTCCCTCTCCAAACACGAGTTTGTCTAACAATGACCTCCGAGTCTACGGTCAAGGCTGCGCTGGCCCCCGGGCCATGCCCGCTCAGCACCTGGGCACCAGCCCCTCGCTGCTTGTCCCTAGTCTGAGTGTCCCCCTGGGCGGGCACCACTGGCTGTCCCCAGGCACGCCTCCCTGCTCCCACGAGCACAGATGCAATTCCTGGCGGGCTCGGGGCCCACTCCTGCATTCCCAGCCTCTCTGCAGCCACGTGGCCAGGGAGGGGCAGTGGGGGTGCCAGGGACCCAGGACGTTCACAAAGGAAGTGTGTGACCCCCTCGCCCATCTTCACTACCCTGTGCTGTGGGCTGCAGTGGGTGAGCTGTGGGGCTCTGTCCCTCCCAGCCCAGGCCACTTGGGGAGCTGGCTCCCCAGGCGACCCCGCCCGTCCCGAGATGCCTTTGCACGCACATCACGTCCAGCCCAGTGCCGCTCACCTTCTGGCCCTGCATGTTCCAGGTGGCCACAAAGAGAGCCACGTTCCGGTCCGGGAAGTAGCGGGCCAGCTCGTCCGCCCCCAGCAGGGCCCCGCTGGCCAGGAGACTCCCCTCTAGGTAGCTCCTGTGGAGAGAAGAGACTGACCTTGGGGCCCAGACACCCGGCGCTGCAACAGCCCAGGAATCCTCCTGGGCACAGGAGGGGCCGTGCTGGACACATCTCTGGGGACTCAGTGTGCCCCTAAGGGGGAAGAGCAGACCCCGTGGGGTGGCGGGAGCTGCGCCCCGGGGGTCAGGACTCTCTGTAGGCCCTGCAGGCTCGCGGGCCAGAGTCAGTGTTCATGGCCTGCTCTGGGGGACAGTGAGCCCCATTCCCAGTCGTGCACACGCCCAGTGCGGATTTACACTACCGCAGCTGCCTCCTGGGAAACGGGCACAAAGGTGATGTTTCGGGCTTTTTTGGTGGCGAGGGCCTGGGAAGGCTAGGGGTGTACAGAGGGGCTTCCACGCTGTGCGCGAAGGGGGGTGCACGCAGCGCGTTCCTGGGGAGGGGCAGGTTCTCCAATTCTCCCGCAGCCCAACACCAGGAGGACGGTCTAGGACGGGGAGGTCCAAAGGCCCCGTGTAGATACGTACGTCTGTGTTTATGACACCCCGCGGTTTCAATCCACGTTCAGATCGTAACACGATGAAGCACGCAAATGGCCAAACACATCGAATTATGCTCAAAGCCTGTGACAAAAACCAAAAACCCCCAGCCCCGTCCTGCCCCAGCCCAGCACACGTTCCACGCTGGCAGCTTCCGCCACGAGGCGTGGCAAGCCGTTGGAAGAGCCAACAGCGCATATTTTTGGCTTCACGGGACACCTGGTCTCTGTCGCAGCTACTCGCCTCTGTCGCTATAGCGCAAAAGCCACCGCAACTGACCCGATGGGCATGGCTGTGCCGATAAAACTTTATTTGTATGGATGCTGAAATCAGAACGTCATATGATATTCTCACACCATGAAATACTGCAGTTGTCTCATTTCCAACCACTCAGAAACATATCTGCCCCTGGACCAGGCAGACTTGGCTACGCCCGTCTCCGGCTCCTCTCCAAACAGTAACTGTGCTGCCCCTTCTGGTCTGGCGCTTTCTGACACCTTTTCTTTCGCAGCGGGAGGCAAGAGTTTGGCGCTCCCGCCCCCTTCACTGCGGAAGCCTCCGGTTTTTCCCAGTCGCGCTGTTCGTAGCCCCTGTTCTTTCAGGAGCCCTCCTTCTGGAACCTGCGCCAACCCAGTTCCACCCCCGCCCTTCACACAGGCTAGGGCCAGGCTGCCCCCAGACGAGGACCTAGATGATGCCCACGCTGCCTCTCACGTCTCGTCATTTCTACGACGCGCCCCTGGCCGTCCGTTGGAGAGACCACGTCGCCTGTCCTGTGGAGTCACACCATGCCCCCACGCACAGCCTCCACCGTCCCCTGCGAGTGTTAGTCGGGTTCCTTCCCGTTTCCAGGCAGGACGCCCTAGCTCACTGGCACTGGGCACCCCAATAGATGCCGCGGCTGCCTGTCCCGCTCCAGTGACGCCAGGATGGACAGAGGGTCTGGATGGCATCGGCTCGGCAATCCTCCGTAACACCCCTGCCTCCGCCTGCCCGCGGCCTCACACCCCGACGGCCGGGGGAGCACCTGTCTTGGGAGTCGCGAGCACCGCTCCTTTTGGAGGATCCTTCCTCGGTTCGCTCTACCGGAGTCTCGACTCTCCTCAAGGACGCCACCTCTGTGTCTTCCGAGGTCACTTCTTCCTGGTTATCTCGGTCCTGTTCCCGCCATGGGGGCAGTCCCTGGTGCTGCCTGTTGAGGACGAGCCCTGGGAGCCCGGTCGGGTCCCTGATGTGATGAGGCTGCACTTTGGGGACAGAGGGCAGCTCAGGACACGGGGATGTGGACAGCTTTTCCCTGGGGCCGAGCTACTCCACTCAACTCAGTCAATGCTCCGTCCTCCACCCCGAGCCGGCCCCACCGGGTGGGCCGGCGCCCCCCTCCCAAGGTGGCCTCCAGGCCACCACCTGTACCCGCCTTCCAGAGAAAGGTAGGACCCCTCAGCTCCAAGGGCCCGTTTCTGGCCCTCTTGTCACTGTGAGTTTGTTCGTGTGCATTTCATTTTGTCACACTGCTGCCACTTCACAGCGGTCCCAGGGTGGCAGGATGCCTAGAGTCGATCCTTCCGTCAGTCAACGGGACCCCTGAGCGCTTTCCCAACCTCTGGCTTTCTCTGCATCCGACTTGCCAGGAAAACCTCGCGCCTTCACCCCACACGCAGGGACCAAGAGTCCTCCGAAGGCGAGAGCAAGGCATGCGGCAGGTCACGTCTCCTGAGCCGCGGCCGCCTAGGGAAGCCACGTCCAGCGTTCGCACCGGCACCCGTGAGAAATCCTTCCCCGCTCCACGCTCACGTTCACAGGACGTGACGTACGCCGTGTCAGGAGCGGGATCCTGCTTATCTCACCCTAAAAACTTGGAAACTCCCAACAGGACAGATACGCTCACGCACCGGCCGTCAGGGCGCAGCGCTAAGCGACGGCCTCGGGAGACCACAGGCGAGCAGGGGCTGGCCGCTCGGCAGCTGGCCTGTCTTCTCTACTCGGGAAGCCCCGAGGTCGGTTTGCCCAGCTGCAGGGAGGGGCAGGCCAAGGGCACTGGCCTATGTCCAGGCTCTGGAGCAGAGCCCGGCCCGGCTCCCGCCCTTGGCCAGGACGTGCAGGTGTCCTGTGGAGACACCCGTGCAGCCACGGCAATGCGGCCGGCTTCCAGAGAAAGGAGTCGGCGGGGGAAGCCGCCGCCCCCTCCAGGCCTGGCCGCAAAGGGCCGTTCAGGACCAGGGCCCGGCCAGCCCGCCCGGCCAGGCACGGCCTGTGTACAGCCCACGAGCTAAGAACGGTTTCTATGCTCTTAAAAGGTTGAAAAAGAAAGAAGAATAGTATTTTGTGACCCATAAAAATTATATAAAATTCAGGTTTTCATCCCTAAATACAGAGCTTCATTGACACACGGCCACCCGGTCCCATGGCGTCTGTGGCTCTTTCCGACTATGATGGCGGCTGAGCAGTGACACGGCCTCTGGCCCACAAAGCTTAAAGTGCTACCTGGCCTTGACAGAAAAGGTTTGCCAACCCTGTTCTAGAACAAACCAAAGGTCTGGAAATGGGGGGCCCTTTGGCAGCAGGACTGGGTGAGACGCCCCATCAGCCCAGCGTCTCCCGGCTGTCTGTAAATGACTTGATCCAGTTTTGAGACCTGATTCTCACGTTCTACAAAGGACGTATCTAAGTAAGCTGCACGTAACGTTAAAAGTGTAATAATACTTTAAATGCACTAGGAAATCTCACCATTTGAAAGGAAGTTTGTAGTGAATTATTTTAACGCATGGAACAGTTCTGTCCCACGTGTGATCGCACGTGCTGCATCCAAGGGCGAGAGAGCGAGGAAGGGTCTGCCCCAGAGCCCTGGAAGGAACGCAGCCCGGCCGGCGCGCTGATTTCACAGAACTGGGAGATGGTCAAGTCCTGCTGTTTTAAACCCCCCAGTCTGTGGTCATTGGTTACAGCGGCCCCAGGACACCGACACGGGGACCACCTCACCCCTCCACTCCCTCCCAGCCTGACGGGACTTGGGCACCATGGCCGTGGGGAGGAGAGGAAGGGAAGGGAGCAGGGTGGCCCAGCACAGCCCCGAGACCGAGATCCCACGGTCGCAGGACGAGACCAGGCTGGGAGAGGAGGTCATGGGTTTGGAGGGGCCAAGCTCAAAAATCTCTGGAATCCCTGGTCTGGTAAATTCACAGCTCTGGCCTCGGAGAGGTGAGCTGGAGGCATGCATTTGGGAGTCATGAGAGGGACAACATCGTGGGCAGCACCCCGGTTCTTTTCGAGCTATAAAAAAGTCAATATGGATTAGTTATTAAAGTCACAAAAAATCCAAGTGCAGGAAGCCAAGGCCTGTGCGTCCTCCTGACGTGAACCCCTCAGCCGTAGGATGAGGGGCCAGCGGACCTGATGATGGAGCATTTAGCAAATCTAATCACAGAACAGCGAGAGCCTGTGGCTCCAGAAATCACGGAGTGGTCCCCAATAAACCACGTGCAACAAGCCAGGCCTGGCTGCTCTCCCCTCCCCAAGTGTGGGTGGACTGTGGGGTGTTCTCACGGTCATTGCAGAGGCCCTGGCCCCTGGGCCCGGCAAGTTCACGTCCACCTATCCATCTGGAAGACATGGGCACACGCCCCTCAGCGGCTGGCTACAGCATCCCCTCCAGCAACAGCTGGAGCGCACCTACACGTGTGCCGTGGGCACGGCTCGGCGCGCCCGCTGCATCACTGCCGCGGCAGAGAAGACGGGGCAGAGGCATGCACGCTGGCAAGGAAGTTGTCAAGACAAAGTGAGATCAAGAAAGAAAACACAAGATACAGAATAGCATGCAGCACCCGATCTCATCTATCTAAACGAGTCAAGATGATGTATTGTTATAGATACATCATACCCACAAATTCTGAAACACAAAGGGATAGCTCGGGAATGACGCGGAGAGACCTGGGGACGCGCGGGGGTGGCTGCGGGTAGACTCGCTTTACTCTGTTGATGTATCATGAACACCGTGACCACACAGTCACGCAGCTCTCGTGCAGCCTGCCTTGACACACCCCGCACCCAGCCCTACCTGCTGCGGACATCCTTGGTGCGGATGGGCGCCAGGAGACTGAAGGCAGATTTGGCCGAGCGAAGGGAACAGCTGTCGCAGGCCAGGGGGCTCCGGGGCCGGCCAGGGCCCAGGCTGCTGTGGGCCCGCACCAGTCTGGTCTGCATGCGGAGCTTGTAGTCGGCATGATCCGAGTCAACCTTGTTTGCCGTCCTCAGGGAGCTGGAGGTGATGTCCAGGTCCATGGCGGGCGGTGGGCGAGGGGGACGCAGGCCGGCCAACCTGGGGGAGTGCGCTGTGCAGAGCTCGTCTCTGTGCAGGAGGTCCAGGGAGCCGCTGAGCACCCCGGAGAGACACGTACCCCCTGAAGATGGGCTCCCTTCCTCGCTGCCTGGGCCCCTGCGGCACTTGGGGATTTCCTGCAAGGAGGTGCTCAGGCAGGGTGGGGAGAGACTGGGGGTGGGGCTCGGGGGGGCTTCCCTCTGCTCAGAACCCCTGGAGGGACTGGCCCCATTCTGGGCTGCCAGGTCCTCATGGCTGCCTCGAAAACGCCTTCTTCTCCAGCCCCTGTCGTCTAAGGACAGGGCTCGCTCCAGCCTGGGCCTGGGCCTGGCCGGGGGCCGCGGGGCGATGGGTTTTGCCTCTGTTTGTGGGTCCGCGCTGCTAAGTTTTGCCGGAATGCTGAAAGGAAGCACCGGGCTCTTCTCTGGGCCCTGGAAGGCGGTGGAGGGCAGGGACCCCGGGCTGGAGCTCTGTGCGAGGTCTTTTTCTGTGCTTGGAAGCTGTCCCTTGAGCATCCTGCCTTCAGGCTGCTGGGGAGGTCGCAGGCACACTGACTCGGACGGCATAGTCAGACCGCCTCGCCAGCCCTCATGGGCGGCCGCAGCCTGACGCTTCCTGGCTAGGCCTCCTCCCCCGGCCTCGGGCAACACACAGTGTCAGGGATACGAGGTCAGAGGTCACCGGGCGCAGCACAGGAAAGAAACCTGGCAGTGGCTCCTGTTCAGGCCTGGGGCCGTCCCAAAGGGGCAGGGGCCGTTGCTGCATGGCTGGATGTCCTGGAGTCCCCGCAATCCCTAAAGGAAAACGCCGCGGTCAGGGCCCACGGCTCCCTCAGGAGCATTTAACGTTCCTAAAGGACGACCGTGGGGCAGGTGGGCGCCCGCCTCGCAGACGGGGCGCACTCCGTAGAGGAAGCGGGCGGGGGCCGGCGGTGGGCCCCGACCCCGACCCCGCTCCCCTGCGGCCGCTCGGGGCGGAGCGCGGGCAGGCGGGGCAACGACCGCGACCGCGCCCGGCCCCC